TCTGCGTGTTGCGGCTACCCTGTCCTGGTCATACGATGTGTTTGGGTAATATGAAAATGAATGGGTTGTGGCGAACGGGTTGACACGTTTCATGACTAACGCATACACGCACACTCGCACACCTACGCAACACTCCGCAATGACACACTGATACATACTTGTCGCCTCTTGCATACTTATTTGCTATTTTGTCTACCGCCTAGATTGCGTGGCTGCGTGTCGATACACAAACGATACTAACGATACAAAATCACGTAATAACGAAAAACCATCGAATGAGCATAACTCATGCTGAGAAACGTGCTTGGATATTGAAAATTCGTGATGTTAAAGAATCGGACAAAGGCTGGTATATGTGTCAGATAAATACGGATCCGATGAAGAGTCAAGTTGGTTACCTGGATGTTGTGGGTGAGTACTTGCGCATAAATCTGTATAGTATAAATAGTTATATAGTAATGTATATAAGAAACTGTATTGAGTAAATAGTAAGTACTACATACATACATATGTATATGTATGTGGATAGATACAGATGTACTTTATGGAGTTAAGCTATTTAGATATTGTAAGTTTGCCTGAAAATTGCTTTGAGTATTTTATCTATATAAATAACTACATATGTGTGTATAATCGCAAGGAATATTCTCAGCAGTTAATAGGTGGAGAATCCCTGCAGGGAAAGCCCGAACTAGTTAGCCATATTTCTAGTTCCGTACCAGATCTTTATCGCCAAAAACGAACCAGTTCGATAGTAACTAAATCTTGTCTTTACTAAATACTGTATACAAACATACTTAGTACGTGGCTTCACTAAATACTAAATACTTGTTATTTACTCAGAGTAAAAACAGAGCATTTCGGAATTTTCTAGACTATTTCAGAATTTTCGAAACTGCTTTGGGATGCCTAGTATTTTAGAGACTATTTCGGTATTTTCGGGGCTACTTCGGCATTTTTGTGACTTTGTCAGGATTTTCGAGACTACTTCGGGGTTGTGAGGACTATTTCTGAATTCTCGGTACCATTTCGGGATTTGCTAGACTACTTCGGGTTTTAGGACTTTCGGGATTTCCGCGACTTCTTTGGAGTGTAGAGAACTTCTTACAGATTTTCGGAACTATTTCAAGATTTTCGGGATTCTAGGGACTAAGTCGGGACTATTTTGAGACCTCTTCGAGGTTTCTAGAATTTTTAGGAATCTTGGTACTATTTAGAAATTTTCGAGTCTCCCTCGAGATCGATAAATATATCCGTTAAAATATCGATAAATATATTGATTAAAATATAGATGAAAAATCGTTAAAAAATATCGATAAATAACCAAAAATTTCGAAATAGGTTATAAAATCACGAAATAGTCTCGGGAATCTAGAAGTAGTCTCGCAAATCCCGAAATAAACCCGAGGATTAAGAAATAGTCTCCCGAATAAGCCGCGGTAATCCACAATCCCTCGAAAATCCCGATTTAGTCCCAAGGAACTCTAAAATCCCAAATTAGTTCCCAAATTAAGGTGTGATGAGTTTAGTCTCGATAATCCCGAATAAGCCGCGATAATCCCCAATCCCTCGAAAATCCTGATTTAGTCCTAAGATACTGGTTCCCAAATTGAAGTGTGGTGAGTATAGGATGAGGTGTGGTGAATTTAAGTAAGGTGTAGTGAGCTTGTATGTGGTGAGTTGTTTTGATGTGGGGTGAAGTGAGTTGTGATAAAATAAGTTGAGGTGAGTGTATGGTAAGTTGTTAATTTTTGAAGTTTCTTTTAAATCAAAAAGTATTTACTTTGAAAGTATTTAGCCATCGACTAAGTACATGCCTTGGAACTTTAGTGAAAGCATTTTGTATCTCAGAAGTACCGGTGTACTTTTGATCAGAGTATTTAGCGCCTGCTAAATACTTTCATTTTCTGTACTTTGGTATAAACCCGCTTTTTTACTTCAATACCTAACAGCTCCTAAATGTCTAAGTATTTTTTATTTGAGTAGTTAGCAACTCCTATAAATAACTGGGTTCTTTTACTCGAATATTTAAACATCTCTAAATACTAAGAGTATGAGTATTTAGTACTCAAACTGATACTTCAAATACAAAAGTGTTTAGGTGTGCCCATCACTGGTTCAAAAGAATTAAAAGAATATCAAATTCATTAAAAATCTATATCTTAGGTGACGAATTTAGAACTAGTTCAGAACTACATATAGAAAAGGCACGCAACAAGATCTCATCTGTCGAATTTAGAACTAAATAGTTCGGAACTATCAAAAATGGGATGCTGCGGTGGCTTGTTTGCGATACCGAACTAGTTCAGCACTAGTGCGTTTCCACACAGGGAATAGTGCTGCAAGATATACAGTAGTCATATTTCATATGAACATAAAATATATATACATTTATATACATTGGTAGGTAGTACAGAATTTATATTCAAACCAAAATCGCTCTGTATTTGTTTCTTTTCGCCTAGTGATTTCGTTTATGTTTTTTTTGTTCAGCTAAATAATAAATAAATTTGATTATCTTTATATGAATAAATTTGCATTTTGCGTGTATCCCATTGGGAAAGTAGGTCAAATTGACTTACCTGCGGGGCATATTCAATCGACAGGAAAATCAAAAGCATACAATAAGTAGTAAATTTCACGGACACGAATACATACCCATTTGTGAATACAGAAAAAATAATAAGCAAAAAACTTCACAGTTTTTAAAGCTTTAACACACAATTTTTTCCCCGCAAGGTTAAATCTTTATATGTACAAAAAAAAAAAAATAAATCCGAAGAAATCTGCATATATTTGAAGTGCTATTCAGTAGTGCTTCATTAAGGCTGATGCGCCAATAAACATTATTATTTTTGCTACCGAGAATATGGCGTTCAAGCCATACCAAAATTTTAAAAATATTTTTTCTTAAAAACTTTTTATACAATAATATGTCCATACCAGGTATGTTGCGAATATTTGCATTCTCATTCATTTTACACATTTGTTTTGCCAATTGCGAATGTGTACATGGGCATAGAGTCCACTCCAATATTGTTGAAATGGCTCTAATAAGTCTGTATAACCAGGGTGCGGACAATAACCGGCTTTTAGCTTCAGGCGCTAAACGGTTAAGAAGTATAGTGGTCGAAGTAATTATAGCCGCACCACATTTTGACAAGTTTTAACATATTATTTTAGTTGTTATTTAATTTTGGTTATTTGTTTATAAACACATAGTTCATTCTTTAACAACACCCGCGTAAATCCAAGTTTCAAACTTTTTGAAATATTTAAAAAAACACAACAAACTTTCGTAAGAATTCTAACTTTTTTAATTAAATTTCCTAGAAAGATAGTGAGTATGCAGTCTTTAGTCCGTTCCATTCTTGTAGAACAAAGTGCAAGTTTCAAACGGCTAAAAATTACGCTTGATTTTTTAGAATTTTTTTTGTCCCATTTGCTTCCACATAAGAAAACAGAAACATCCTGGACATAAATAATATAAATAATGTGAAATAAAAAAAAAATAATAATTGAAATAAAAAAAAAATAAAAATGGTGCAGCTTTGAAGGTTTCAAAAGCTGCTATTCAATCATTTGTTTTGTATGTAATAGACTTTAACAATTCAGCTGCTTGCCTTGGTTAGTACCTATACTTTTTCCTAACAGTTTCTAAACTTATTGATTCCTTTAGCTTACTTTTAAGAAAGTGACATTCTCGAAAATATTTTACAAAAATGCAAAAATAACAAAAAATAATAATTTTTGAAGAGCCTGAAAGCAGTTTCGTATTCTGCACAAATTTTCACGTCAGTAGACGATTTCAGAGGATTATTTTCCTACCAATCTCCAAAAAATATAAAAAAAGGAACAGTCCAGCACCTTCGTCTTGGTCTGCAGGCCGTATCGGAGACACACCCGCTAAATTTAAACGTAGAACACGTGGTATGGTTATGAGCACAAACGAAACCACACACTAAGAAAAAAATATCGATATCAAAAGCGATAATAATATCGATAGCAAAATCGATAACGATATCGATAAAAATATCGATAACAAAGTCGGTAATAATATCGGTAGCAAAATCGATAAAAATATCGATAACAAAGTCTTTAATAATACCAATAACAAAATCGATTAAAACATCTATAAAAAAGATAACAAAATCGATTAAAATATCGACAACAAAATCGATAAAAAATATCGTTTATTATATCGATAAGTTCCGAAAATATCGATAGCAAAATCAATAAGAATATCAATACAAATTTCGATAACAAAATCGATAAAAAATATTGATAACAATACCGATAAAATATCGATAGAGAATTCCGAAAATCTTTAAAATCCCAAAAGAGTCCCCAGATTGAGGCTCTATCTGTATACTTTTCTCTATAATTACCTTTACTTTAATCTTTCTTCCTCTATCTTCATCCTTACTTTTATCGGTATCCTCATCCTCATATTTTCCTTTATATTTATCTTTTTTTTTTACTTTTGTGTTTATCATATTCTGCATCTACATATTCCCCTTCACCTTTGCCTTTTATAAATATTGCGCCACTTGTTATGCAAAAGCCAAAGTACCTACATACATATACTTTTGTTTGCAAAATGATGACGAATTAATTTTGTATGGAAAATTATTGCTTTATTTGAATCAAATAAATAATCATACTTAGAAGATATCAACCAATACTGCCCATATACCAAATGAAAGGAAATATCTGGAGTTTTTATTAAAGAAAACAAAAACAAAATCATTTGAGCGGTTTTCGAGCACTTTAGAAATAAAAAAAAAAATTGCGAATTTTTTCAACAGATTTTCACATTAAAATGCTCAATATTTGTTGAAGTTATGTAAAATTTGTACACGATAATATTTCTATCACTATAAAGAACCTAGATCCCGAAAATTAAAGTTTAACCTGCAAATCGTAAGTTGCTTGAGCACTTTAAAAGCTCAAAATTTACCCCAAACTGAGCAAATATTTACCGTTGTTTCTACAACAGAAACTGAATTGGTGACTTACAAAAATTAATCTGTCGATAGGTATGGAATTATGTCTTTGAAACGCCATACTTTTCTTTCAAATCGCTTTATCAGTTCTCGTGCAATAAGCATTTTCGTAAAGCGCAAAAAATTACAACTACAACATTTGAGCATAGCCTCCATATCGAAACGTAAGACGTATTCTACGTCAAAATACCGCCATGTACACTTTTTTTAGAAATTACCCTTATGAAAATATACGAGCTATTATAAAATTCGTTGTAAGCAAATAAAAAGATGTATGGATTGGTCAAAAATTTAATTCAACAGCATTTTTCAACAAAATCTGCTTAGTCCACCAAGCGCCTAAATGCAGGCTATGTATGCACTGTTGCATTCGCAAAAATTTCTTTTATGACATTTATGAAGTTT